GTTTCTTTTTGTTTTACACTTGTGTAAACAAAATGACAAATAAATCTAAGTCTTGTTTTTTCTTCAGTAACTAAATGTTTGTTATTGTGAAATGTGGAAAGGAAGTATGTCTCTTTATTTACTATTATTAAGCAGGTTTATTGATTTATCCTTTTCCTGTGTTTGTACAGCTTAAACGATGAAGCCAGGGGGCTGATTGAGGGTCTGGGAAGCTCCACCATCCGGGCTCTGGGATACCGCGATAACTGGGTGTTTGTTGGTGGGAAAGGAGTAGCAGAGAAGAGCAACTTTGAGAAGGTAAAGTCATTAGGTGGAAATAATTCAATGACCATGATGCTCAGAAAAAACTGGCAGAGAGGTAACAGTTGTTTTTCAGCTCATGGTGACATGACAAGCTTCACCTAGAGAAGATTCCTAAAGCAGCACTTTCTGAAAACATCTGACAATAAACGGCTGAATTTCCTCCTTAGAGAGTCATCAGTTGAATTCTGAACCAGGAAAAGATCTAAACTCCAAACCTCCACAGCTAATATCTCACAGCTCTTACAAGCTTCCTTCACCAAACCATCTGAATCAAACCAATGTCTTGTTCCAGAGCGACAAGACTGATGGGGAAACATAGAATAGAATAAAATAGAATAGAACAAAAAAGAATAGAATAGAAAGGAAATGAAACTGAAATGCCCAGTTGAGAAATTGTGCAAATAACAGCATGGCTGTGTTCATATATGTACTTGTGCATCTAAAAAGACCAGAATAGTGTCTCTTGGTTCCCCTGAACACTTCAGGACACACAGCAAAAACAATCTAGAAATAAGTAAAAATGTCTTATATTAAGTCTATTAACCCTTAATTTGAGTGGGTAAATAAGATGATTTGCCAATGGAATGATTCTTTTTATTCCTAAAATAAAATAATTAAATAATATGCACTTGAATTATGACAATGCAATATTTTTTTCTTATTTTAAATATAAATAGTCTTGTTCCATTTGCAAAGTGATTCACTTAGCTCCTCAATTCAAGAAAAAAAATGCACTTATTTTAAGAAAAAATTATTTATTTGTACATTTTCTGTAGTGCAGTGACCTTGACACCTGACTTTAACCTGCACTGTAGGTAATATAGAGCAGCTATTGCAGATTGCAAACATCTTTAAAGGCTGCTGACCTGCATATGTGTTGCTGCTCCAACAGGCCTGGATTAAATGACTGAATTTCCTCCCCTGCAGGTCTTCAGGTTTTTCACAGGTCTGGTAGTTTGACTTCTGTTGGATTTCAGGTGTCGTCTGGCCTTCAGTGTGGAGATTTTATACTGAAAGTTTGCTGTAGGCAGATATTCTCACGCTTTCATCATACAAAAAAAAAATTCACCAAAGGACGGCCTGAATACGGACGTCATCATCACACCTTCTCTTCATACTCCCGTTTGCATGAAAATGAAGGCAGGCTTGGATTTATTTTCACCCACCACTATGTTCCTACACCAATCAGTATAAAGACCCTGAATTGAGGAAGAAAGTGCAAAGAACCCAGGATAAAAAGTTGTGTTTTTTTCTTTTTGGTTGGTATGAGTTTCGACACTTATTTTATTTTGAAGAAGTCTGTGAAACTTTCCAGATATATGCTCTAAAAGCAAAGTTTCCTCAAATTTGTCACCTTAGCAGAACTGTGTCGTGCTCCTCCTGAACAGGTCTCTACAAAAATGTTGCTATACTGACTCCTGTATTTGCTCTAAAACTGAATCTGTTTGTGTTTTCTAGTACATTAAGAGCGACTCATCCAAAAACAAATACGATAACTGGCCTGAGATGGCGGAGTTGGAGGGCTGCATTCCCAGATTCCTGGAATAATCCGACGCCGCAGCCCGAATCCAGGAAGTAGCAGGAGCAGGATTGAATGTTTGAGACTTTCTATGGATGTAAAACTGACCTGATCGTTTGTCCCGAATCTTTATGCATGGTTTCCTTCCATTGGAATCTCTTAATCTGACTCTTGAAGGAAGCTGAAGCTGTGACACAGAGAGGAGATAAAAAAGGAACCTGAGGAAGCATCCCTATATCTCTACTGCTGAGTCATTATCCTCATCCTTCTGCAGCAATCCTGCTGCTGCTGTTACATTTCCTCATTTCTTTGATTCTACGATGTCAGAAAACTCCAAACTTCTAGACCCAGTTACAGGTCTTTGAAAAGAAGTTCAGCATCAGGATGTTCTGAAGTCAACTTCACCGCCACAGCTTCTCTGCGCTGCAAAATAAAAGTTAAAGAAGAGATAATTTGTCCATCATGAGAAGGTCCTGGGTTTTTATTTCCTCAATGTATAACATTTTCCAAATGTTTTAAAGCTTAAAAAACAATTTAATATTAGAGAATTCTTTTTTTGTTGTTGTGGGATAGAAAATTATAAAATTATTTCTAATAAAATCAAACATTTATACTCTATTTCTTAACCAGTTTGATTTTTTTTTTTTTTTTTACTTTTTTTGTAAAAAATGCAGTTTCTTTTTATATGACTTATAAAACTTTTAGAAAATCCTGGGAAAATCTGCTTAGCGTAAATGTGGAGACTAAAATTAACAGAAAAATAAATTACAATTTGTTCTAAAAAACACAGGTTCAAATTGCTCTGACCAAAGACCGCTGATTGTTGGAGTAGCTCCGCTGGTTTGACTCTGTTAATCTTTTAATAATGAATTCAGTTCCTCTGTGATTCTTTTTTCTGATGTTTTTACCTCTGGTGTCGGATGCTGTGCGGCTGAAATAACCTCTTAAACCAGAGGTCAGCAAAGCACTTAGCCAAGTCATGTAATTTCTTAATCTCATGATACAGTTGCTGACATCAATATAGAGCAACACAGACCAGGATTACTAATGTTATAATGTTATGATGGAGGAGTGATGCTGAGACGATGGACTCCTCCTTCATGACCATATCTACAGCATAAACATAAATGCTCAGTGCTTTACTTTGGGATGTTGTGTTCCCTTCAGCATCTGCTGTTGGATGAACAGAGAGGAGGTCTTTGGTCTCACATTAACAATGAAAGTTTACTTTTTAACTCAACAGGAATTAAAAGAGTTTACTGATACAAGGGAATAAATAAATGGTTCACAGGAAAATGGAGAAGATGCTTGGTCTGCTGTGGGAAAGATGGTGGCAGTGTTTTAAGCTGGAGGGATAGAGAGGGGGGGGGGATCCGTCTATTTCTTCCAGGGGGGTTGTGAGAGGTGCTGAGTGATGCATGAACCAGGAGAGCATCCCAAGCAGTGAGGAGGTTGATGGAGGCAGTCTTAATGGAGGGTTCTCCAGTAGAACGAGGAGACAGACTAATGGGAAGCAGGAAGAGGAATCTGATTTTATATTACCTACCTAAGTGAATGATGTTTCTATGATATTGGAGGTTCTCCACCTACCGTCTGACTCTGTGGTATTGATCCAAAAACAGATCAAATTAACTTCCAGTGTAGCAACAGGACTCAGTCATAGAGAGAATCTTGAACTTCTGAACAGGATGATCCCTGATGCCCCATTTGTAAGATTTCTAGAATATCTCACTGGAAGGAAAACCAGAGGTAGATCAAGAAGTCAAATGAGGGACTAAAATTCAATTACTGTCGATTTGCTTGGATGATCCTTTTTCTTTTATAGTTTCTTTTGTCTCTGTTTTCATCATCATTATTATTTTATTTCTAAAAGTTAGATTTTTTTTTAAAATCTTTTTTTGTATTCTAGTGTTTCTCTGCATCATCTGTCACTGTTATCAATCTCTTCTTTCTAGACCAAACTGACCGCAGACATTTTTGGGTGGGGGTCTGTACCTGATTTTAAATAAAATTTGATGCAGAAACCGTGAATGCAATCAATTCAAAGTTTGTTAAGACTTTAGAAATAGAAAGTATTTTATTTCCATATCTTCCACCCATAGATTTGCTCAGTTGGGTCATTAGAATATGATCTGCATGAGGATAAACACGCAAAATAAGACAAAAAGCATTTGCACCTGATTCCATGTGTTTGGTATACTCAATTTTGGTAGAATAGGAACCAAATGTAAATAGCAGTTACATTTACATAGGATGTAAACAGCTGCTTTGTTTTCCCAAGAGGTTTAGAAGAGGTGACAGTTTCCCTGGAATTAAGCTCCCATTGCCAAGGAAAAAAACTCCCTGTTTATTTTAGATGATTCAGATAAAAGAGCAGTGGCTGGTAGGTGAGAAGACAAACAATACAATCTGAAGTCAAACAGTCTCAGACACAGAGACACTTTGTTTCAGCTTCACCAGGATGTGAGGCAACAGCTGGTCCTGCAGGATTTACAGCTCCTGTTTTCAGATCAGATTTCTGGGTAAATTTGTTGTTGGATGAACAAACTGATCCATCCTTCACATCCTGCAGAGCTCCTGTTTAGTTTTAACATACAAAAACAACTGAAACACGAACTGAAATATTCAGAACAGGTTGGCTTTTCAGTTTGGTTCTATATTTGTTTAGAAAGGCAGCAAATGTCATGCCTCTATTTTCCTTTATTTTTAACCATCAATCATCACTGCATTTTGGAGCAAAAC